CGGAGACTGCAGCTCTCTGTAGATTTTTGTTCTGAAATTTCTCTTTCTCAGTCAAAGTCCTCCTCCATAGGGCCTGTTCAGTCAGGAGTGAGCAAAAGGCTGAACACCGCAATCAAGCAAGCTCCTCCTGTTTCTCACCTTGTGAATTCAGCATCACTGCAACTTGAGCTGTGCGTTGGACAGAAACCTTCCAGTGCTGCTGGGATCAAAAGGGGGCAGAATTGGCTTCAGGATATTTCACAGGCAAAAGAATTCACAGAATCTGATTCAAAATCCCTAAGTATCAAATAAGCAGGACAAAAAATGGCTTCTAAACAAACGATTAAAATGAGATCTTAATGGACGGGTGAAAAGGAGGCAAATAATCTCATGTTCACTGTCAGCATCTGTTTAAAGTGACTAATTGTTGCTGTTAGCAATGCTCTGGTGTTTTTCTTGTTTTTGTGAAATAAAGCCATATATTGCATGTATATAAACAAAATCCACTAATACCTTATTAACTATATTAACTGACGTGAAAAAGTATTTTGGTATGATATTAAAGCTTATTTACACAGCTTTTCTTTGATTGCCAAACATTTTGTTTCGGTTTTTAAAACAAAATTGAATCTGTCATTAAAAAAAATCAATTTTTAATCACGTGCCTTATGTCAAGGCTCATTTGTTACATTCCCATCCCTCTCGCTCACCAATAAAGGAGTAAAATTCTTCTTTTTGATAAATTGGGAAAAAGGGAATCTGAATGGTTTTAGTGTAAATGCAGATGAACTTTTTGGAGTGGGATGAATATGGGAACTCATATGTCATAAATTACAGTGACAGACCAGAAGAAAGGTGTGTATTTCACATATTATTGGTCCTGATTACGTTATACTCTGCTCAGCTTGTGAAGAGATGTATCAAGGGGAGTGGTGTTACTTGTGTCTGCAGTGTGGACAGCAGTGGTGGAACAAGTTTTGGGGATTGTTTTGGGGAAACTTCAGGGTAAAAGGAGTAATTTGTGGAAATGTTAATAAACTAATAAGACTACACAATAGCGCTATGGGAGGGTCGCAAGGGAAAGAATACCAACAAAACAAACAAACAAAACACCTCTCAGGTGTGTGTTGGCACATGGGAAGGATGCTGCAGGAGGGCCAGGGATCCACTGAGAGATGGGGGGGGCTGGGAGAGCCCAGAGAGGGCTCTGCCCCATTGGAATGAAAGGAATGTGTAAATTACTGAGGAAGGGGCAACAATTTCAGGTTGCAAAGATGAAGGATGGGAATTTGGGGAGTCTACCCTAGCAGATCCATTGCTTAAATTACAGCTGGGGGAGCAGGATAAAGAAGTTAATCTCTTGGTGGATACGGGTGCCTCTTACCGCCCGTGGATGATTTGGTAGCAACAGAAGGAGCCAGTGCCCAATGAATGAATGAATGGCTTGCTTTTTGGGATTAATTGAATATAGACTGAGAAAACAAGTAGGAATACATAAGTTGTTGTACATGCCAGGTTACTCTGGCAAGAAATTAAATACAACTGAAGCTAAGGATCAAACAGTATTAACTGATTGAGAATTTTAAGTCTGCCCTTAACACAAACAGGGGAAAACAAGATTATTGCCCCAGAAGTTACAGAAATCTTGAATAAGATACGCTTAGGAGAGTGGGTATCAGGGATACCTGGCAGAGCCAAAAATGCAGCCCTAAACAGAAGTGAAGTTAAAAGCAGGAGTGAGCCCAGCAGAGCCCTTTGAGGATATGTGACTGTAGAAGGATCAAAGATAATTTTTAAGTTTGGATTACTAACTGAATATGAATGCAAACACAGTACTCCAAAGCTGCCAAAATAAATAAATAAATAAATAAAAATGGAAAGCGAGTGCTATAGTTTGGAACAAGACTTGAGGGTAAGCAATAGAACAGTTGCATGTATTCACTAAGTGGTGAACAATCCATACACTTTATTAACCATGTTAAGGAATGAGTAAGTGGAGTCTTCTGGACTTGAAGGATGTCTTTTCCTTTGCACTCAGGGCTCCTTACTATTCTCCTGCCTGTTCTGCAAAACCATCCAACAAAACAAGTTATGAAGAAAGAGGTGGGGAGAAGAAAAACAGAATGACATTCTCTGTGACAAATAATATTTTATGTGTTAGAATTTTTAAGCACTGCATTTAAGAAATGTCTTTACGTCAAGCTTTGAATGGAAAAAATATAATCCAAGTTTAGTTATCTGCTCAGAGAAATGGTAGCGTAGAGAGCTAAGATTGAAGCCAAGCAGCAGAACACACTGCTGTACAGCAACCATAAATTAAACTTGGGGTGTAACAGAGGATCCTAGCAAAGGGAAAGGAGTAAGAACAGCCTCCTAGGCACAGCAACCCATTTAGTCTTACAGGTATGACTGTGTGCAACCTGTCTGCCTGGAAAATGAGAGATTAGGACTCAGTGAAGCAGAACATCACATTCTGACCCTGTGTTTGGGTACTTCCATAAGCTTGGCACACAATGCACTTCTTCATCCCCACAGTTTCTTCTCCCTCCCAGTTCTACCTGTGATAAGCTGACACAAGAGAATTCCAGAATTCTCAATATAAAAACAACAAGATAATCTATCACCATGGGTGTAGTTGAGCTTCAAAACAACCCACAAGTGAATCTTGCTTCTCACCCATTCTGCTGGTTCCTACCACCAGTGGTCATTCATTCCCAGCAAGAAACATTAGCCAAAAAACAAATACACTAAAAATGTAAGGTTATTTTTGTATTAAATTCTTAAATTAAAACTCAGGGAATGTTGAAACAAGCAAAAATTTCAATTATTCGACCACGTGGTATTAGTGCTCTAAGATACACGTGGCATTGCCCTGCTAGGCATTAACGAGGCTGTTTTCAACACGCCACATGCAGCCAGCTCTCCCATTTTCTAGGCTCAGAGCAACTCGGATCAAGTCTCAGGGAGAATCTGAACTCTTGGGAGAGGTTTGTGTTCATGCCAGAAAGCAGAGCAAGCAAGCAGAAATCAGAGCTTGCACAGCAGCCCAGCTATGGGCCAGTTACAGCCCTCAGCTGCAGCGCTGGCACCTTTAGCTGATTTCTGATATTTAGGAGGCTTAAATTTCAACCTCTAAAAACCAAACAGAGGCCTAACATTGCAGCAGGAGGGGTCGTGCACAGAAGTTGTTTAAGCACTGATACGAAACTTGAGTTTGTTGGAACTGTATGTTATGTATACTTGGTCAGCAATTATCAAAATCAGTTTATTATCCTTTTTTAAAATTTAATCAGTTATTATCAAGCTCAACCCTTGTGCTGGTCGTACCACCTGTAAAATCTCACTTTGTGGCAATCACTGTTTGCATTAAAGTTTAAGGGACTTAAATCTCATTGCTGCTGTGTTTTTTTAGGCCCATCTCAAGGCATGGGTCTGTGGGCCCCCACCCCATCAGTTGTGGAACCAGGTGAACCAGGCCTGGACCATGGGCACACATTCCATACGCAGCTGTCAGTGAAAGTCATTGACCAGGCTGGGCTCACACTGCAGCCTTTCCTTGCATTTGTTGGTCAGGTTTGTGTCGTCGTATGTTACTGTGAAGTGTTCCTCATTTACGTCATTTCGCATCTGAAAAGTTCTGGACCAGGAACAGAAAAAATTTGGTAACATTTTTAACCCTTGAAATTCATTGAGAACATTCCCAATTCCCTCCCTGCCTGAAGAGCAGCAAAGTGGTAACTTAAAGTTCGAAAGAAGTGATGGAGACTTCTACCTTAGTCAGCCATGCTGATGAATGTATCCTTCTGGCTCGTGCTTTAAGGGCTGTGGATCGTTGGAGCCCCTGTAAGTAGCTTCTGGATGGGAAAGTCTCATCCAGGAAAGAGCCAATAATGTGGCTCACATACAGAACAGACTCACGGTTCCTTTGATGAAGGAAAACCTGCAGCACAGTGCTGTGAGCCATAGCTCCTATCTAGGTGTTAGTGGGCATTTGTGTGCAGAAAAGCTCCACCAGAACTAGCTCTGACACTGCTGTGAGTTGGGTATCAGGGTGGTTGGTGGTGCTCACATTCTCACACAATCCTGATGCAGGCTAAAGGTATAATTGCATAACAGAAAAAATCAAGCTTGGAGATGGACTGTTTTGTGAGGGATATCCTAACACCTCTGCCAACTCCTGTGTTTCCTTCCTAGATCTCAGAAGTTATTTGTATTAACCTAGGGTCAGTGCTTGCCTCTTACACTCAGCAAAGCTAATAGCATTTGGAGAGCCGTGGAGAGTCCTCTCTACGTGTACCTGGCCATTAAGGGCAGTAAGTTAGTGAGCAAGCGATGGAAACCAGCCCTGGTCAGAGCCACTGATCAGCAGGGCCATCTGAGAGCACAGAAAGGGTGATCTGGCCAAGGACTCGTCAGGGGTCTGCGCTTCTCTGGGTTGTGTGCTCAGCTGTGTCGCAAAGGGGAAGTGGGGGCTGTGTCCCCATCTTGGGCAGAGACCTTGGGCAGCCCGGCAGGAGGGCTGTGGGGCAGCAGCAGCTGCAGGAGGCTGCCGCACTGCTCTCTGTGCACTGTCACACCATCCCTTCTCAGCTGCTTGTAAAACCTAACAGAAATGCTTCCTTCATTCACCTTCGTTCACTTAAAGGTGCTGAATTATCTTAGCATGACAACCAGGGAACAGCGGAGCATCGGAAAGAACGCTCACTTTTTAAGCATCACAGAGGCTTAGTAATGAGCTGCAGCCATGCTTTACATAGGACCACAGTTTAAGTCCTGGCCCTCTCGACTTCCCATTTGTTGAAGGTGGCTCTATTTGGTATGGCACTGAGCACATATTTCAGCTCTGTGATCCGCAGCTGTGACTTAGTTAATGATCTCAATAAATCCTGCTTACACAGAGACAAGAAGAGAATTATGCAAATGCATTTCTGTACCACATCTATTGATAACTGGAATGGTACCATTAATGAGCCCCAGCATATCAACACCAATAACTTCCTTTTTATAGCAGATACGAAAAATGGGGTAGTTTAAGGAATTTTATTTCAGTCAAGTTACATCTGCAGAACGTGTAGCAAAAGTTGACAATTTTGTGAGAAAAGGAAACGTGCCGTGGGCATACACACAAAGGGGGTGGTTAAAACTGTAAGAGCTGACAAGATTTCTCAAACACAGCTGTGAAGGAGATCACAAATTACATTTCCAAACCGATTTTTCTAAAATGATGATTAAAGTCTCAGCACAGCACTGTGGCTTGCTGAGCAGCAGTCACACTTGGCAGCTGGATGAAATGTCTTCCACCAGTCTCTTGTAGACCCACGCATCCCCTCTGAGCCTCTGTCTTCTGATACCAACTGCTTCGTCCTTACTGAGCCCACACACTTCTGCCTCAAACTTCATGGATTCTTTGCCAAAATCTGGCTTTGTTTGGCATTTCAGGGTGTAGCTGTACAAAACAACAGAGAAGCAGAATAATCATTTAATCATGTTTCAAAGCTGGCGTTGGACAATTTCAAATGAATAAAAGCACTTCATTGCAGTACTCCACTGGCATTCATATTACTGAGAAAACAGCCCAGGATGAAGTCAGCTGAGAGCTGTGACACCCAAATCCAGCAGTGGTACCTTCTGAGGTCCCTTCCAACTCTGAGGATTCTGTAATTCTGTGATCTCTTGGCCAAATATTTGTGTGTTTTAACTACAAGAATGGGCATTACAGTTACACACAGTCTCTCTCCGAGCTGTACAGCTCACCTTTTGTATCACAGTTTTACAGGGGCAGACAGCACTCACATCAGCCTCTAAGTGCCACATCATCATTACTGCTTCATGTTCATCACAGAGCTCTACGGGAGCTCCTTTAACTCACTTAACACTGTTTTGCATCGTGGACAATGTTTCATGCACATATCCATTTACGTTCCCTATGCTTTTTCTAAAATGTTTGTATTTCACAGAGTGGGGCAGAGAAAGCAAATTAAAATATTTGCTTCAAGGGCTGTGGAACTGACTATTTAGGCACATACAAGGTGAAGCCTTTCTGTTTTCCACTGACCCCTTTGAAAGGACAGAGATTATTTCATCAGCACTTGGTCTGGATTCAGCAGTTGAGTCATGGTAACATCACAGTGTGCCTGAAAGCAGTCAGCTCCTTCAGAAAAATCAGAATCGTAGAAAACGTCTTTTTCCTAAAACTGAAGATGTTACAGAACCTTTCCACGCTGAAAGCTGCAGAACATCCAACCATGCAGACAAATGCTTCAGCTCCCCAGTGTGATCATCGTACTCTGGAATAACAGCAGCAACGCCAACCAACAACTTCTCCACAACTAATATCAAAGCACTGCAAGTTCTACAATCAGCATAGAATCCAAAGCAGCAGAGATGGGCCAGGGAAGCACGGAGACAGGCATGTAGCCAGAAGTGCTCCCTTGACAGGATGGCAGAAGACAGGCTTGAAGCCACGTTTCGAGTATCCTATGGCACTGCCCCTACCACACAGCTGGGGAATTGCCTGTGCTGTGCTGCTCTGCTGAGACTGAGCGCTTCAGATGTCAAGGAACACACAAGGTTCCATGAGGCTTTTCTATTCCTGAAGTATCACAGTGCAAAAAAAAAACACAACAAAACAACAAGGTACTTTCCAGCCTTAAGTTAATGGTTGCAGTTTTGTTTGTTTGTATCGTGCCTAATGCTACATGCAACAGATTTGTCCACTAAGTAACTTCTGCAACCTTCAGACAGCCACGTGTAAAAAGAGACCGAGCACACCAATCGTCATGTCACAAACACACCAATACTGCAACTGTCACAAAGATCAGAGAAGGCAGGAAGGTAAAACAGCTTGAGAAATGAATGTAGGTTGTGGATGTAAAAGGCAGAGAGAGAAAAAAAAGAAAAAGAAAGTTCTTCAATTTCCTGTTCAACCTCGAATACGCAGGACTCCTTTCTGTAACATCTGCAGCAAAAATTGCATAAGGTTTCATCTTCCACTGTTGTAATCTAGTGCCCATAGAAGTGCATCAGTGATCTTGCATAATGCTGTGGGCAAGGGAAACTGATGCAGAATGATAAAAGCTTTTAGAGGTAAAAAATCTCACTTAGGTTTGTTTCCAATTACTCGACATCCTGAATTATTGGTGCAGCCTGGATGCTTGTCAAATTAGCTGGGTAGGTTTGTAGTCCCAAGTGTCTTGAACTTGTAACAGTGCCATCTGATATTTAACAAAGTGCCAATTGGATAAGCTTCCAGGTCAGAATACAGAAGCTAAACTGCATTTAACCAAACTGCAGAACACAAAGTAATCCTCTTATTATAGACACGCTTGCATGCATCGACCATGAGACAGCTGATAACAGGATCTTGCATGGAAGAAACACAGCAATAATTAGGACAGCGGTCCTGGGCTTCAGGAGATCCAACTTTGACCACTTCAAGGGCCTAACATCCCATGAGCTGGAGCACTGGAATGTAAGGGAGTCCAATAGAGCTGGTAGACTTTCAAGCACCACTTCTTCCAAGCTCACAATTGGGGAATCCTTATGGGTAAGAAATCAAGCGCAGGTGGCAGGAAACCTACAAGGATGAGCTCAAGAGAAATCTCAAATGGAAAAAGGAAAGTCTATGAAGTGTGAAAAAGGGTCTGTGCACTTCGTAGAAATATAGAAATGTTGTCAGGACATGCAGGGTTACAACAAGGAAAGCTAGGACACTTTTGGAATTATATCTGGTGAGGGAGGTCAAGGACAACAAGAAAGGCATCTTTAAGTAAATCAATAGCAAAAGGAAGGTGAGGGAAAGTGAGTCCCACTGCCGAATGCACTGGGTGTCCTGGCAACAAAGGACATTGAGAAGGTGGAGTTACTGAATGCTGCTTTTGCTTTAGTCTTTACTGATAAGACTGCCCTGCAGAAACCCAGACTCTGAAGGTAAGAGAATGAGTCTGGAGAAAGGAAGATTTCCTGATGGTCGAGAAGGATCTGATTAGAGATAGGCTAGGCAAACTCAAGGCACACAAATCCATGGCCTTTGATGGCATGCACCCACAAGCAGTGAGGGAGCTAGGAGAACTGACTGCTGAACAACTCTCTTTCATTTTTAAAAGGCCAGAGAGAACAGGATAGGTGCCTGAGGACTGGAGGACAGTCATGTCAGGTCACTCTGCAAAAAGGGCAAGAAGCCAAGAAACCGTGGGCCAGGAAGCCTCACCTCTGTCACTGGGAAGATGATGGAGCAGTTTATTCTAGATGTCATCTCCAAGCAGTGGAAGAAAAGAGGGTTACCAGGACTGGTCAACATGGGCTCACCGATGGGAAATCACGTTTGACTGATCTGGTACCAATTTATTTTATACATCCACATTTATTTATCCACCCTGTTTATTTTACACATCCACAAGTCTAATGAGATGCATCCCAGTCCTAATGGCATTGGCTGATATAATCTTCAAGCCACTCTCGATGATACAAGTTGTGGCAATCAGGTAAAGTCCCTGGAGACTGGAAAAAAGGTGACATCATTTAACAAGGATGACCCGGAGAACTACCGACCTGTCAGTCTCACCTCTGTGCCAGGAAAAATCACGCAACAGATCCTCCTGGAAGCTACACCTAGACAGGCTGCAGAGTTGGGCAGGGAGGAATTGAATGCGATGTAACATGGGCGAGTGTAGAGTCCTGCATCTGGACAAAAACAGCCCCAGGTACCAGGGTAGGCTGGGACAGACCTGTGGGAGAGGAGAGCAGGGGAAAGGGACCTGGAGTCCTGGTGGACAGCAGGATGACCATGGGCCAGCACTGCGCCCTTGTGGACAAGAAGGCAAAAGGCATCCTGGGGTGTAATAGAAGGGCTGTGGTCAGTAGGAGAGAGAGGTTCTCCTCTCCCACCACTCTGCCCTGGTGAGACCGCATCTGGAATATTATGTCCAGCTCTGGGCCTCTTCATTCAAGGACAAGGAACTGCTTGAGAGAGTGCAGGACAGAGCCACAGAGATGATGGAAGGAGCAGAACATCTCCCTCACAAGGACAGAATGAGGGAGCTGGGCCTCTTCAGCTTGGAGAAGACAGAGGGGTGACCTCATTAGTGTTTATAAATATGTAAAGGGTGAGTGTCACGAGAATGGAGCCAGGCTCTTCTCAGTGACACCCAGTGATAGGACAAAGGGCAGTGGGCACAGGCTGGAACGCAGGAGGTTCCACATAAATATGAGAAAAAAATTATTTAGGTGAGCGTAACAGAACACTGGAATGGGCTGCTCAGAGAGGTTGTTGGGTTTTCTTCTCTGGAGACATTCAAAACCCACCTGGAAGTTCCTGAGTGACCTAATACAGGAGCTCCTGCTCCGGCAGGGGGCTGGAACAGATGGATCTTTAGAGGTCCCTTCCAATCCCTGACATTCTGTGATTGCATACTAAGGCACATAGAAGGCAAAGAGGGGATACAGGAGAATCAGCATGACTTCACCAGGGGCAAATCCTGCTTGACCAACTAGCGGCCTTCTATGATGGTGTCACTGTATCAATGGACAAGGGAAGAACCACTGATGTCACCGACCTCAATTTCAGTAAGGCCTTTGATATGGTACCTCACAACATACTTCTCTCCAAATTGGAAAGGTATGGATTTGATGGGTGGACTGTGGACAAAAAAGGGGACGGAATCTTCAGCTGAGTCTGAAAGGACAAGGGGAAATGGTTTCAAGCTCAAAGAGGGTATTTTTTAGATAAGGAGAAACTCTTCTATGGTGAGGGTGGCGAGGCACTGGAACAGGCTGTCTCATCATGTGGTGGATGTCCCATCCCTGAAGACTCTCAAGGAGAGGTTGGATCAGGCCCTGGCCAACCTGATCTAGCTGTGCATGTCGCTGCTCCTTGCAGGGGACTTGGACTAGATGGCATTCAGAGGTCCGTTTCCACCTCTAAGGATTTTATGATGTCATGACCAGCTGGGTAGATGAGGAAAGAGCAGCGGATGCTGTGTACCTTGAATTCAGCAAGACACTGAATTGACATTGTCTCCCACAACATCCTCATAGGTAAGCTTAGAAAGTGTGGGATAAACACTGGATAGCGAGGTGGCTTGAGAACTGGCTGACAAGCAGAGCTCAGAGGGCTGTGATCAGTGGCACAGTCTAGCTGTGCCTCCCTTAGGAGGAAAGGCTGAGAGACCTGGGGCTGTTCAGCTGGGAAAGAGAAGGTTGAGAGGGGATCAGTGTTTGCAAATACCTGAATCATAGGTGTCCAGTGGATGGGGTCAGATGATTTTCAGTGGTGATCAGCATCAGGACAAGAGGCAATGAGTGCAAACTGGAACACAGGAAGTTCCATGCAAGCACCTTGAGGGTGTCAGAGCCCTGGAGCAAGCTACCCAAAAAGGACTGTGAAGTCTCCTTCTCTGGAGATATTCAAAATGCCCCTGGATGTTTTCCAGCACTAGTTAATGTAGAGAACTTGTTTTAGCATAGGCTGGACTAGATGATCTCCAGAGATCTCCCTTCCAGACTCCTTGATCCTGTGACTGTCCTGGAGATGTCCCTAAAAGCTGCAGCTCCAGCAGACAGCTAGCTGGAGAGATGCATCAATTTCTGTTATGGAACTGTTTATGCCTTCATAACAGCCTTGTTTTCACAGGAATCACAATTTTTTTGAACATGTCATCTACTGATTCAAATTTAAATTCCTCTCAAGTGATTTATATGATTCTGTTCACTTCATGGAAAAGTCAATGTATGCAGATTCTAAAAGTCTAAAACTTAGTTCCTGAACTAAGGAAAACAGCCAGCAAGGAACGTTATCAAAGCTCCCTCAAAGCAGAGGGAAAGCTGGCGGTGCCTCTACAGAAATAACATCATTCAGTACTTTCAGCTAGGACTCCTTTAAACCCATCCTGCATCCTCCTCCAGTTTGGAGAGATGGCATGCAAAAAGCAATGGTCAGCCCTCTCCCATGACGTGCTGGTGACTCACCTGAGCTGAAGGCAGCACTAAATCCCTGGGCAATAACAGGGCCATTATATCAACAGAAAAACAGGACGAGCAAGTGCAATTTTCTACAGAGCGCAGGCAACTCAGATCACAGAATTTGTCACGAGGCCATTCCTAATAGTATGAAATGTTTTCAGGAGCTATCACTCCCATAAAATATTTCTCTAGCAAACATACCTTAAGCTTTCTTGGCCCCTGTCAGCTGAATCACTTCTTTGTGCCTGCTGTAAGCACTGTAATCACTTTATCCAGGCCTCTTTCAAGACTTCCAAGTCGTTTGGCCTTTCTCTTCTTTTGGCTGCTCTCCACATGAGCTAGGTTGAGATCTAAATCCACAGAGTGACACCTGTTACAAAACCAAATTAATTAGTTACTTTTCCTCAGCAATCAGACTGTAGTTATTTCATATGCATTATTAGAATATGATCAGATCAGAATGAAGAAAACTAAAGGAAGTGCC